AAGCAAAAGGTAGAAGTATAAGCAAAAGCTTCAAGTAAAAGGTAGAAGTAGAAGCATTTACTTCATATCATATGAATAATGAAAACCTTTTACTTGCGAGCATATGCTTCAAGGAAATGAAGTAAAGATGGTTCGAAGCTAACGGAAGGAGTCGGTCTGGGACTTGGAATAACTGGACCAAACTTTAAAGTTTAAACTCTCATGAGCAATGGGTGAAACGTCCAGAAATTTTCAAATTGAGCTTCTAGCTATAAACACAAGGAAAAAGTATCCACATTCGCAGGAAATGGATCAGGTTGGGCTTTGCGTAAAATTCTCTACCTGGAAGTCAATGTGAAAACATAACTTCTTCATCATATATTCCGTTGCCGAAGGAAATAGCTAATAGAAAAGCCGTGTGGAATGTGAAAAATAACGATCAATTCTGTTTTGGATGGAGTATTATCAGCGCACTATTTCCAGTTGATAGGAATACTGAAACGACAACTTCATACCCTGATTTTCTTACCTTTAAATTTTGAAGGACTAGATTTTCCCATCAAATTGAAAGATACCTATACTAAAATTTGAAGATTTGAATCTCTGTGCCTAAGATTGTCTTAAAAGAGGACTTTTAAGAGAGCACATTTACATACTGTCTGACAGTCAAGTGGCTCTAAAGCCTTTAGGAGCAATCAATTGCAATTTTCAGCTAGTTTGGGAGGGTAAAAATATCCCTAAATAATTAGCTGGTAGGAATAAAGTAAAAAGGACAACGAGGAGGTGGACCGTATTACGAAGCAAGGCGCTTTAACACCTTTTCAAGGCCCAGAACCTTTTTGTATAGTAGTGAAAAGCCACGTCTTCAAAGAAATCAACAGATGAAGAAAGTTCATATCTGAGATCTGAACAACTTCTTGACGGTGAACAAAAGAGACATGAGAAGAGTCATTGGTCGACTGCTCACTGGGCATTGCCTGGTAAAATCACCTAAAAACAATAGGCAAATCGGACAATGATTACTGCAGATGTTGCGAACAAGCAACAAAAACTTCAGAACACTTAATCTGTGAATGCCCTGGTCACCTCGGCAAAAAGCTGAAATACTAACACCCCAAGAGGTGGGCACTTTACCACCCAGGAAGCTGGCCTCCTTTCCTTTGGGAGGAGCCTACAAATCTTGGACATTAGAGCGGATGGAACAAGCTGTAACGACTCCTAATGCAATCTACAATTTACAGAAAAACGGAAAAAAAAGAATATTCGAAAATAATTTACCAAAACAGTAAACATACATCTGCTCTGGAGCAGATGCATTTTGCAAGGAGTAAATACTCCCAATTTGAAACAAATACTCTCTTTTATTTATAAGAAAAAGAGTATTTGCTTTTTCCTGGAGTATTTGCTTCCGACTTTTAAGTATATGGTTTTGCTTGAACTTTTATTCATACTGGATGAAGCATTTGCTTCAGATTTTGCGAGAAAAAGCAAATGCTCTTTTTTATTTATAGGGTAGAATATCTCTTGAATAATGGCTTGTGGAAAGTGTCGAACGTGATTTTCTGACCATGAGCTTTGCTCCGGTTGCTTGCTTCCATAAGTGAAGTGAGCACCGTATTGTAGTCAGTTGGAGGGGCAAAGATAAATGGAAGGAAAAGGATTTTTGAGCATGAAAACTGAAGTCGGTCTGTGGCTTGCTCCATAAATCCATTCCACCCTGGCATGGACTGTTTGGTGAGCGACTTTCCATACAACCATATTAGGTCAGAAGCCGAGGGCAAAATTTCACCATCAATTTCATAATATGTTCCTTGCAAATCCTCAACCATGATTGCTGCTAATCCACTGGTTTTTTTTTTTTAATGTACTCTTTGATTTGTACTTCACTGCTGGAGGTCACATTTTGAGCAGAAATATAATTCTGTAGACATGAGATGTTTTTGTCTCGCATTACTGCACTCGAGAGAATCACGCACCTAATAACTCCCATCGTTCACGTATGCATTGTCATAGACAAATTAGATAAAAGTTCCTTCTTCTATTGACGGTGAGGATTCATCTCGTAAGATTGCCGAAGTTTCAAGTTGCACAGCTGCTGAATAAGAATAGGAAAACCCCAGCGCAGCACACATATTTACCAGATAGACTGGTGGACATTTTCAGAAATTTTATTCCGAGCGGCATTTCGTGCGACATTCGGCAACTTGACGTTTCTAGGATATTTAGACCCCACTGAATCCGAATCCGAATGTTGCCAAGCCGAATTTTGCCTCCAAAGACCTCAAATCCAAGATGGCGGCCAAACTAAGGGCCTAAATGACATTTTTCTTAAATTGTATCGTTATTGACCTGCGAGATGTCGTTTGATATGATTTTGGGATCCCTGGACATGAATATGAGTATCGTAGGTCGATTCGGATACCGGAAGTACCATAATTCAAGATGGCGGCCGTCGGGGGCCTAAATACAGAACTTTCAGAAGTTGGCATATATATGGCATATACGGCGTATCGGTACATATGTTTTTGACGTCGACTAGATCAAAAATTAGCACCATAAATCGATTAGGTAACCGGAAGTACCGTAATCCAAGATGGCGACTGGTTGGGGTCCAAATACCAAATTTTAAAGAACAGTGCCTCTTCCTAAAAATTGGTCCAACTATGTCGCGCTTGATGAGAACAAAGCTGAGTTAGCAGCTTTTATTTCAAATGAAATATTGACAGCCGATTACGGGCAGACTACAGTATTTGTCACTGGAGGCTTCGCTGACGAACTACAAGTATCTGCTAGCAATGAGATGGATTGCTCTTCCTTGCAATCTACGCACGAAGAGGCTGATACTCGTATTATACTCCATGCAGTAAACAGTACGCACAGTAGAGTTGTCGTGTCTGCAAGAGACACAGACGTATTTGTTTGGCTCTTGCACCATTTTAGGAAAATGTAATGCAAAGAATGTCTTATGATGGCTGATACTGCTAAGGACAGAAAGTACGGACGTACCTATTCATACAGTTGCAGCGTCAATGTCTCTCAGTGAGCGAAGCAATATCCTTATATTAAATGCGCTGACGGGTTGTGACACTAGCTCATTGATAGCAGGTTGGTATCCAGTTTACTTTTTTTACTGCACTAGACACTTATTCAAATTCATATTACAGGTATAGGAAAGAGAGGTGCTTTAGTTGAATATCGTACCCATTCCAAGCTTCTTGATGGACTCGCAATTGCAGAAGTTCAGGAGAGATTTTTGTCAAAGTGCGAGCAATTCATGGTACTTTAGAACAAGAGGAGAGAAAATACCTGTGATGAAGCAAGACACATTCTTTTTGGAAAAGTTTCTGAGTCCTGAATTGCTCCCAGCTACGTCTGATGCAGCACGTCACATTCTCCGAGCCACCTACCAATCCGAGGTCTGGCTGAATGCACATAGCAAGGCCAGACCTTCCTGAATCTTGCCGGTACGGATGGCTGGAGGAGAATTACATTCCAGTCTACACTACCCTGCCAGCGGTGCCCAAGTCCTGCACGCAGTTACTGAGTTGTGGTTGCAGGTCAGGGTGCGGCACAGGCTTGTGCAAGTGCAGGCGGGAGGAAGAGGTATGCACCAAGTTGTGCAAGTGTTAGGAAGACTGCGAAAACAACAATGACAGTGATGATGTATTCATGTAAAATGTTTTGTGCATTTTGGTTACTCCTTAAAGTATAGTTGTACTATTTTATTTCGGCAAACCTGTGTTAACATGTTTCCTATCGCTTTTCCGACCTCAAATTCGTGTTCAGCGACCTCCAAAACACTTGTGTTCGACATACCAGCACGTTATATTATAGCAACTTTTTAAAGTTTGGTATTTGGGCCCCAACCGGTCGCCATCTTGGATTACGGTACTTCCGGTTGCCTAATTGATTTCTGGTGCTAATTTTTGATCTAGTCGACGTCAAAAACATATGTGCCGATACGCCGCACTTGAGAATATGCTAACTTCTGAAAGTTCTGTATTTAGGCCCCCGACAACCGCTATCTCGAATTATGGTACTTCCGGTATCCGAATCGACTTCCGGTACTCATATTCATGTTCAACGGCCCAAAAAATATACGAAACGACATCTCGCCGGTCAATAACGATACACTTTAAGAAAAATGTCACTTAGGCCTTTAGTTTGGCCGCCATCTTGGATTTGAGGCCTTTGGAGGCAAAATTCGGCTTGGCAATTGGATTCGGATTCAGCGGGGTCGAAATACCCTAGAAACGTCAAGTTGCCGAATGTCGCACGAAATGCCGCTCGGAGTAAAATAGAGTACGATTTCTGGGAATGTCCACCAGTCTAAGATGTTTGGATCCATATTTTCGGTAAAAGTAGGTACGAATTCTAATCAAAAGAGAGGAAACAAAAGATCGAGGTCGTACAGCAGCTATGAAAGCATGAGAAAATTATACACACTTCTTCTTCCATGCTTAAAGGAGGCCACGCTTGTTTTTGAGAACAACAGCATCAAAAAAACAGCTGCACTAACTCAGGGATGACACAATCAATATTGTTGAAGAAATCGTCCGAGGGAAGATACTGACTAATGTCATACACTTGTGTGTGGATATCTTCTACGATGATTTCTGCTGCTGCCTTCACAACTCTCAACCGCTCTTGCTGCACATCGCCTTTTTGGTCCTTGTACCAATGATCATATAAAATTTTATGGCCGGTGTTTTTGAATCAGACCAGTGTTCTTTTGTTGGAGCCCATCTCCACTATGACTATGTCATCGCCAAAACGTTTTTGGAGGTGATTTCCCCCTTTTCTGACATCAGGAATATAATCCCTCTTAATTTGCTGTAGGAGGTGTGATAAAGAAAACTGGCATTCATCAATGTTTTCTGATAGGTAATCGTACACACTCCATCGCTTCTTCAGTATTACTGGCTGGACGATACCCTCTCTTATTCCCAGTAACAGGTGGTAATCTAAACAGGCTCCTGTGACAGAATCCATGGTACTTCCTGACTGCAGCAACCAGGTAGTCAATAGCGCTCCCTAATGGACCTTCCCCAATCGTCACCACGGCGTTTAGCTGCATCTAAAACAGTTTGCCTCATGCCCAACTTCTCAGCTGTATGGACCACATTTCTTCTTGCCAAGGGCAGTTTGCTTTGTTGCTGAAGAAATTCTTCGGTGATAACCTCACCACATAAAAAGCAAATCCCTTTCAAGCTATGAGCCAGTTTACTTGATGATTTTGTCGATGAAGTTTTCGATTGGTAAGCAGAATCCCCTCCTCGACGAACTGAGGCTTCAACGTTAGACACAGCTGTATATCTCTTTTTGCATGCATCATGAACGCTGACTTGGTTGCAATTTTGGAGGAAATTTTTATTTTCTGTGAGACCATGTTTTTGACTCACTTCAATTAGTGCTCGAATTCCTCGTTCTTTGATGATCACAATAGGACCTGTGTCGAAGTCTTCACGACACACAAAACACACGCCAGGACGGATAGACATTTCGCAAAACACTGAGGTCAAAGGAGGAAACAACTAAAGCACTTAGGGAATTTCCATATTGAATATCAATTAATTCACATATCGTCAAATCGCCTTATCAAAAAAAATTATCAAGTTTAGTCAGGTCTCAACTGAATTTTTCCAGCAATAACAAAAAAAATACATGTTAACTGCTTTATAAATAAAACCATAAAAACAGGTGAGAACAGTTTATTTGCATTTCCCCCAAAACCCTCTTATGACTCTTTTTGGTTATCTGCTGTTTTTGAGAGAACCGCTAAGCCTACAGGTACAAGTTTTAGTCTTATAATATTTGACGTAGGATGCGTAATTTAGGAGATATTTCACAAAATAAATGACCATTTCGAAAAAATTTCAACTTTTGGAGAAAAAAATCCTATTTTCGTAGAAATGTATCTTGGGAACCAATGGCTGTATAGAGCCTGTCCTGGTCTCAAATTTAGTCGACTTCAAGATGTAGAGTGACTATACCGGTCAGACCATTCTTTCACTGAGATATTGAGCAAAAACTGAAAAATGTCCGAAAATTTCATGGTTTTTTGGGACACCGCCGCTCGCACATCATTTTGGAAATTGCAAATCTGGTTTTTTAATATTGGTTTAGGTCCTTACAACATATAAAAATTCAAAACGACCGGACTTTTTGCAAGCCTAAAAAAGGACAATTATATATTCATTCAAAAAAACTTCGGTCGCGTTTCTAAATGTACTGATCAGCGCTTGTTGGCTGAACCATAAAGGTGATTTTTGGTTGACTATCAGCCAGTACTTTTGATCTTAGTTAAAGCCTGAATTAAATCAGAAATGTGTTAAACATCTTATCTATTTATCTATAATATGTATGATAAATCCAATGAATGTGATCAATTATATCATCTTGATACATTTATACAACTTAATGACGTACAAAAAAATGGCCGTCCTTTTCAGACTAATAACGTTTACTGGCTCAGAGCAAAGGCAAAGAAAAGAATAAGTAAATACAAAATAAGTAAACATCTTTTTGCATATACTTGTTAAATTAGTTCCGCACCGAAAAATAATGTAAAAAGTCTCTAAGGGAATCAAAAAAAATGATCAATACTTTGTACAAACATCATACATGTGTGTTCTGAAAAAATAAAAATTATGTTGTAGAAATGCTACTTTTATTTCACCGGCTAAAACATCTAAATTAAGCGCTTCTATCCAACAAAGCAAAGAAGATTCATTAAATCTGCACAACCATTAAAACTAGCCAAGTTAGTGGAAAAGGTTTTTCCAGCATTAATTGAAAATTATAGCCAGGAAGAATTACAAATTAAAGACCGTTAAATATAAATTTTGAAAAAGTGTTTCCAACTTTACGCTAAAGTTAGTTTCGGCTAAGAATTTTTAAGCGCTGATTAGATTAAAGCTTACTCAAGAATTTTAAGTGCAAAAAAACATAAATGTACAATCGTGGTCGATAAAGTGATGTAAAACAATTGGGAAGTGTAAACCTGCTTATCATTCATAAACAAGACTGTAATAGAATATCTTATTCTAAGAGAAAAAATTCAATAATACAATTCCAAAAGTTTTATTTCAATCATAGAAAATCGGAGCTAATGTCACTTTGCACTCAATGCAGCTGGAAAAAAGTAAAGCTAGAATAATAAAATTTGAAATGATTATTCAAAAATTTAATGGTAAAAGCGTGCGCCAGTTTCATCAGCCTTTGTTACCTGTCCTATGAGCCTCCCTTATTTGAAATTACTTACATTGGAAAATTGTCACGAATCTTACCGATATAATGCCGTTTCCATTATATTGCCAGCTTTCGTACGGAATAAAATTCAATTGATTTTTATTAGCCAAGAAAAATTTACAACAATAAAAATCCGAAATCTATATCATTAGATTTCATATGGGTAATTTGAAACTTCTATTACGCGGTGCACCAGAAGGAAAATAAGATATTACGTTCCAGACCGTCTGCAGATAGAGGTAATATTGGAATAATAGCGAATTTGAACTTAAATCAAAATCTACAAAACTTGTTTTGGGAAAACGTATTATTAGTCGTTTCAATGTGCTAAATCTTCAACCAAACCAAAGTAAATTATTTATAAATTAAGCTTGTATCATCCCCCATTTTCAATATTGGAATTTACTTGAAGATTGTCGACTCAATATTTTATTCTAGCTAGAACCGCGTTTTAAATGTAGTTCTACATTTTAAATTAAATTGAAAAAATACTTTTCTTATTTTCAATATAAGAAAACAGCGGCAATTTTATAAATTAACATCTGTAGTTGAATAAATCACTTTGACGTTACACAAATTGATTTTATACCTGGTGCAACTTGTTCGAAGAACTACTGATTGTTTTTGTATGATTTACGAGTTAAATAAGAAAGTCTAATAACACAACTTTTGAAAGTATTTCAATCTTACGCCAACTAATAACTACTTATAAAGTGCCTTACACATGTAACGATTTGTCTCAGGAAACTTTATTTTAACGGGATAGGTTAATTTCGGTGCCACAACAGACAAAACGTTATTGTCTAATTCACGAAGAAAAGAGCAGTAAAGGGGCTTCAATGTCCTGAGCATAACGGAGCGAAAATCTTCTTTCCAAATATCTAGGAGTACTTTTTGTCCATACCTCAACAAAGTAGTCCAGAAAGCTTAAATTTTCCTGGGGAGATGCAGAAGGTTTTGTGGAAAAAGCTGGGGACTTAACCAAAAGACCATTCTATGGTTATACAAAACAGTAATGAGATATCCTATGGTTCGGTTGGTAGAGGACGCCTTTGCGCCATCTCGATTGGAACAAATCTAATCTAGGGGATGATTTCTAGGCTAGACTAGATGTCCCGATTCAAGCCTCATGAATTGAAGAAGAAATACCAAAAAATTTTAATCACTCACACAGAAGTCATGAAAATTTATTAAATCGCTCCAGAATCTACATTACCCGTCCTGCCTCGAGGAGCTGTTATGGTGTGTAGGAAAATATAGACTGTGAACCGTGTGAACGATAGGAAATCTTGAGTTATCAACCGAGTTGTCTTTCGTCGCTCTATTTCGAACTTTGCCTTGATTTTCGGACTGCTACTATCGAGGCCGGTTTGACCAAGCTCGTCGTGTGGTGCTAAGCGGAGACATGTCTGGACTTGAAAGTAAAAAAAAGGTGCGTGGTGTGTCCTATGGCTCGTTTACAAAATATGCTAATGAACTCGAAGTACTTTTATCCCCGGAGCCGATTTACAAACGGTTCAAGTTTGCCATGAGATTCTCAATGATAAATTTAGTGAATTGAAGACTATTAGTTCAGAGTACTTCAATTTACTGATAGAGGATAATGCGAGTGAAACAGACTTGGCCAGTAGATTGAAGCATGTGAAATGCTTTCAACCCGTGGGTGGGAGGTAAAAGTCAAAAACGTGAAATTTTCAAACTTTTCAAAGGTCAGAAAAGTCAACATTACATGTAAGATTATAAATAAAAGAAGATTTCTAACGCCAATAACAATAGCAAATTATCAAACTAGAGGGCACGATTTCCGTTTAAATTTGAAGTACCAGTTAGTACCAACACTTTCTGCTGTCGATTATTAAGGGGAAACTCCGTCTCTTTAGCTTGTCTCTTCTTCGTCCCTTTTCTAATCTTGCCGTTGCCCTGAAAAGTCGACAGTGGCCAGGGGGAAGCAAGCATTTTATCAAAAATTAACACTACTTTTTTCATTCAAATTAGTATTTATATGGAGAATCAGTTTATTGTGTTACAGTTAGGTAATTCACATAGCCTAAGTTAACAGTTCAATTTTACAAAAATGGCCAATATACGCTGCACCCTAGTTGTTATGACGGGAGACAAAGTAAATTTCCCAAACAGTGATTTCGAACCCCCTCGTGGTGAGTCCTTTTTAATTTTATTATTAAAATAATGGTTGTTCATGGAATGTTTCTATTACTTAGGGTTTTACCGGGGAGCTTTTTTTACCGGGGAGCCGTTTTTTCCGAGAAGCTGTTTTTCTCAAGAAATCTATTTGCAACAAACCGTTCCCTTTCCAACCAAACCCTTTCCGTGCAGCGTGGGCATAGTGCTCTTGAGTCCCTCACGTGTCGATACCTGAACCTCCATATTTGACGAAGAAAACTGAACTTCTAGTCTTGATTCTAGGCTAGAATCTGCAACTTCTATGTGCAACTTCTCTCGTCCAGTGACCAAAAATGGATGGCAAACGACTACCTTACTCTACCTTTTTGTTAGAATTGAGGCTTGTATAGAGCTTCAACTATATCGGGTCTTCAAAAAAAAAAAAAAAAATCAAAGCCATAGCAATGGCTTTTTGAACGTATGTCTTAGTAATATTTTTCTTTAATTTTGTCAATGAACTTCAATGTCAAAATGTCATGTCAAAAATCCTGACCGATAAAGGAACATTAATGCGACGTACGTTTAAAGAACCATAGCAATCTCTGATTGTTTTTTTTTTTTTTGAAAATCCGATAACTTTTATTACCTCTTTTTTTATGAAATATATTTTAAGATCAATTACCATGATTGATTATTTCTCCTTACAAACACATCTAAAATCTCTCATTCTTGACACCGAGGTGATGGTGGAAAAATTAATTTTTGATTTACCGTATGTATTATAGATTTATCTTGCTTCACTTTTGGTACCGCCATGTTTAAGAGAGAATGTATCTTTTATTAATCATAATCATTAATCTGAACTGAGTTCAAGGTAGGAGTGTTCTAAATTTAAAATTATTGGGTCAGTACCTATAAATTTCTCATCTGGGTTATATTACTTATAAACTTGAGGATTTCGGTTATATCTCTTTTGTACCTTCAACGTTTAACCTTTGATTCCATACAGTTCAAATTTGATTTTACTGATTCTATTTTCTGGCAGTAACTGACCATATTTATCAATATAATATTATAATTTTCCATCACTAATTTTTTGTTTTAAATTATTTTCTGGAAACCTAAATCC